TATTGTTTTATATATATATATACATATATATATATAACAACACAATATATATTGTTATGCTCATACACACACATACACACACACACAACTTGCTGAGTCCATTTCATGTTGCTTGTATGTATGTGATTTCAAGTCTGACTATGTAGTATCTCTGGAGAAGACTAGTTCTCCTCTTAGTAGACATTAATTGCCTATAGTTCTTTGTGTAGTGACAGGACCCTTTGAATTACCCCTCTCTTGTTAGCATTTTATTGTGTCATCATTGTTTGGGTCTTGCTTTTGCAGCTATACTGTTGTCATATCCTAGTTGTAATGTCCGCCAATCCTAGGAGACATCATCTCACAGCAGACATCCTAGTACTCTAGCTCATACTTTGTTTTAGCTCCCTCAAAAGATTGTGTTTTAAAAATTGTGATGTTGAACTAACTGTGTCCAATGTTGTGCATGCACACATTCATGTGCCTGTACACACACACTCCACATATGGGAAATAAAAACACAAAACATAAAGGATCACTTTTGATACAGGTCTTTGGTATTTTATAGATTTAAATATTAGGTATAATTGGGGCTTTCTCCTTTGTTTGCTGACTACTGGATTTATCGTAGACAATGTATAGGATGACTGGAGGTGATTTGCCTCTTTCTGGAAAGTGAGTATTAGTATTAACCTTATACTTAACATGCAACACTGGGAATCCAGGACTTGACTGCAGAGCCATTCTTCCTTCTTAGCATGTATAAGCTCCTGCGCACCTACCTAGAGGGCACTTTTCCTGGTATAGAAAGAAAGATGGCTACAGAAGTTCTTGGCTGGGAATAGTCAGCTCTTTTGTTCAGAGGTAGTTGACTACCCTTTTGAATTGCTGTCGTCCTCTCTACAAGGAGTAAGTGAAGTGAAAGTCTGCCTAGTCTTTGTTGATAGCACCTTGTATGGAGAAATATTTTTGAATTTTAGAAATTACTAGATGGGTATATATTTTTGAAGTATTTTTTTACTATTCATTCTGTTACTTCTGTAGTCATCATAATTAATTTTGTTCTTGTTATTCATGCAATAATGTGCTAGACTAAATATGTTATTTATTGCTCAGCTGTACTCACTAGTGTATTTTTTTTCTTTTACAAAGGTAAGTTTTGTTGAGATGGGGTTTGAAGTGTAATCCAGGCTACCTCCTGAAATCCTTTTTCCTCAGTCTTCTGAGTTCTGGGGTGACAGGTATACACCTTCATGCTAGATTGTTTAAATTTTAGTGTAGAATTCTGAGCTCTGGTATTCTAGAAACTTGCTTTTTATTATTATGTTTTGGTATGTAAGGACATGCAGGTTCTACACTCCCAGTGTGTGACTTTACACTAAACACTTCATTGCTTTGAATCTCAATTTCCTGATCTGTAAAACGAGAGCGTTTAATTAATTGGTCCCTATGGTCTTTTGAATGCCAAGTTTGACATAGATATTATCCAGTGATGGCTACAAACATGAGCCAGGTGTCAATACTTGTTAAGTATATTCTACTCCTGGATGCTTCATAACCCACTGATTAAATAACTGGAAACTTTTATTCTGATTTCAAACAACATCCTTCCCTAGTAATTGATGTAATATAGCTCTTACTGTAAGTACAGGAATATCTTGATATTGTAGTAGTGATTAGCTTAAAAGATGTTTTGTGGTGTGTGTGGGGTGTGTGTGTGTGTGTGTGTGTGTGTGTGTGTATTACTGTTGTTGTTGCTTGAGACAGTCTCACAGTGTAGTCCAGACTGTCCTGTAATCCATTCTGTAGCCCAGGCTGGCTTCAAACTCTTGGGAATCCTCAGCAAAAGCTATTTCTTTTTTATAATAAGTAAAACATATGTAGGGAAAGAGACTAGAAGGCTATGCAAACAAGCACTTTCTTCTCATGCCTATGTTGTATTCTGTCTCCTACTAGTTTTCAACCTTATGATATTGTCACTTTGCATGCTCAGAGTTCACGATTGAGAGCCATTTGCAGTTTAATTATAAAAAATCCAAGAATTATATGTCATAATGTTTTAATCGATGTTTATTTTGTTTTATGCCGCATTAATTGTTATCCTCTGCCTCATGAAGTCCATGGGCAGCAGATGAGACATGCCTGAGTGTGACTCATCTTTTTCAGCACTGTTGTTTCTTCCCTCTTAGTCTTGCAAAGTGGCTGTCAAATGGTGCATAGCACATAGCACTCTGCTGTCCCGTGGGCATGTATATGCCCAGAGCCAAGACCTGGGCAATCTCAGGCACCCACCTTTTTTTTTCTTCTTCTGAGCTCTGGAGTATTCTAAAACTACAGGGTTTCAATGTGTGTGAGTCACTTGATTAAAACTGGAATTACTGTTTAATCTATAAACCATCCTGTAACGAAAACAGGCCAAATCAAGTTAGTGTGAAAATGTGCCCTTTAACGGTCCAGCTTTGTTGGGGTTTGATATGTTTTGGTAGCTCCCAGAGGGAAGAGTGAGGAAGATTATTTTCTAATTCAGATAATGGAAGAGTTGGATTCTAGTCCTGATTTCATCTGTAATTAGTTGTGTGATATTGTGTTATATCTCAGTTATCTGAGATTCCAAATGGCTGTTTACTTTCCTCGCTGAGTTCTTGTGTGAGAGAAAAGCAGAAAATGTTTCTGTGCCTTGAGAATAATAAACCATAGTGATTGTTTGAAATGGTCTGGAATTTCATATAAAATAGGTACTACCAATAACTATATGAAGAATTAAATTTATAAAGGTCACAGTTGGGACATTATTTCTCCAATTAAAATACCTCCCCCTTCGACAAATTTTGAACCTGGCTGGAATTTACACTGGGTCCTAGCAAATGAGCAGATCTAGTCTGTTTGCTTTGGTTTCAGGAGTCAACTGTCAGAACTTAATGTTACTTTCATGTTCTTGGTGTGACATTTTAGTCATTTGTCTGATTTGGAGCATTCTCTATCAGCCATCCTGCTGGTTTGCTGCATGCTCAGATACCATGTCTCCTAGGAATCCCCGAGGACCAGTGAGGAGGATGAGGGGGAGGCCAGCTGAGCTCCTGGGCTAGAGACCAAGAGCCTTTTCTCGGCTTGCTTCCCACTCATTGTGAAGCCTGGGCCCTATCACTGGAGGGGCCTGGCAAGGAAATGAGGAGGAAGTGAGTGCCATTGCTGGTTCAGAATGTTCCAGTGTGGTTGGAAAGTTTGAGGAGCAGCCCGGGTGAGAAGAACAAGACCTTATTGACAGGGTTCAGTCCTGGTCAGGTCTGTTTCACGTCAGCTTTCTGAATAATCACTGCTCTCCCTACCCAGGGAGGTCCAGAACAGCTACTACTAACCCCCCACCCCCAACACACACACACACACACACACACACACACACACACACACACACAAACACATTCTATATGAGTATGCTAGAATACAAAGCATTCTGTTTTATTCCATGTGGATACAGTGAGGAAAATGTAGTGCTGGCTGCTTCAAGGTGACAATACTATAACAAAACAAGTCTGCTTTCTAGAAATCTTTAGTTAAATTATTATCAATGCAGCTGTTTTCTTAATACTGTTTTGCTATCCGTTGATTCAGAGAACTACTGCTCCCTAAATAAAACAAAACCTTCCAGTGATCATGTAGTCCAGCTTGGCTTATCCTGGCTTGAATCAATCAGCCTTGTGATTTGATTTAGCTAACACCTAAACATGTATAAAACCTATACACATTGTAAGGTTGAGATGAAAAAGCCAAACTCTTTTCTCACCATGTGTCTATAAACTTGACTATTTATGTCAAGAAGTCAGAAGAAAATCTGTTGGAATTTTTAATGGACCACAGAATGTGCCCTTTTTATGCCGGGCCTTGCCATTCTTCATGAATTCCCGCAGAACTTGTGCACTAACGTTGTAAACACTCACTCAGCAGCCCTGCTGTTTTCATGACCCATAGGGTGTCTCTAGTTCCAGCTTTAGGTCAGATCATGACAGTACTAAGATTTGCTTCATTTTTTTCCCCTAGAATATCTGGTAGGGGTTTCTGAACCTCACAGGGATATTTGAAGCTGTTTTAAACTTATGAAACCTAAGAAAACACAAATACTATAGCTGCTTGTCAGAACACAAATTTGTGTTATTAGAGCCTTAGTTTTACATTTAAGTCTGAGTTAGATTGAAGGGATTCCCCATTGGGGCAAAAATCTGAAGAGAAATTATGGGATTGGCTATAAAATGTAGGACCTACTACTCCTTTTTCTGAGAGACACTAGTACTCAAATAGTAATAGTTCAGCTCTTTGCCTCAGACTAGTTTAATTAGATAGCTGTCATAGTTTTTTCTCTTGTAAAGTGACATGAAATCATTTAATTAGAAAGTTTCATCTAGAAACTTGTAAAACAATTGCTGTTACCAGTTGAGACTCTCAGTGTTTATTTAGCTAGCCCCTTCTTTATGTGGGAATCAATGCATGTTTTAAGATAAACTCATGTGAAACATTTATTATTTTATCAAAGAAGTAACAGTTTCCTCTTTAAAAATTTCTTTATATGTATGCACACATATATGATAAAGTGATTTTAACTGAACTCCATCCCATGAACCCTCTAAACTCTCTCTGCCTTAAATCCTCTAAACTCAGTGCCTTTCTACAGCACTATAGCTTAGCAGCTAACTGGTCCCTGACACCTCCCATGGAAGTGCTTACCTTCCTGCATAGTACTTCCAGCCTTCTCCACAATTCAGTGGAGTCATTCTTAGTAATGTCAACACCTTGTGCTCTGTTTCCTATTGAACTTGCCAGCTTCCTTTTAAAATATTATCCCCACCAGAATTTGTTGTATTCCTATGGCACCAAGGCATTTTGCTTTGCTAACATATTTGCATATTTCACATAGCCTGTAAGTGGCAAAACTTGAACCCAAATCCATGGGATTCTGAAGCTTTGTGCTTTCTGTTTCTCTGATTATTTGCTTGATTTTTTTATTTTTTCCTGTCTTCAGTGATGTCTACATGGGTACTGTCTGCTCTGTTAATAGTGGAACACCATCTGGTCATTATCAGTTTTGTTTTTATTTTGGTTGCTATGATGTTTATTCTGTTCAACTTGACTTTCAAAAGATGGTCTCAAAACCCTTAATGTAATAACAATTCTGTACCAGCCACCAGAGGTCTAACGCTTCTCAATTTTTTTCTCTCTTTCCAGGATGGCTCATACTTGGCAGAATTCCTGCTGGAGAAAGGATACGAGGTGAGTGACTCAGTGCTCTTGGGGTTGCCGTGGACTGCTAGGATGCAGCTGCTTTGCTTCCTCTGTGTGTGCTTTCCACGGAAACTCTGATAACAAATCAGAATCCAAGCACGACTCTGCCGTGGCGCCGGTGATGCTGCCAACTCATTGTGCTGTCTATCTGCTGGTGAGCACACGGGGTTTTGCTGTTCTGCATGCCTCCCTTGTGCTCTGATAAACAGCAGCCCATGTGAGCCTGACTTTAAAAGTTTTAGGGTTAATGTATGATGTAATGTGCTACATTAAAAAGTTCCACTCATGGTGAAGTCACTTAATTTGGAAATTGCACAGAGCAATAAAAACCAAGCTGATCTTTGGCAAGCTTGCATGAAAGATTTACACCTGGAGGTGTTTGCTTTCTAATAGGCAGCTGTATATTTTATAGAAGATGAATCTGTGTGATTCATAGTTAGTGCTGTTATCATTGTGATTTGTTCTTCAACATTATTAGAAATAAAGATTTGTATTAAATCTGATTACTTTAGCAAATACTGTACTTTTCAAAAACATTTTCCGGATGGAATTTTATATAATTTCATGATCTTTAGAGAATAAAAAGTTATACACTGATCCATATCCTGGCCTGCTTTGACAGTGTTGTGTTAATAGTTTTACATGTTCTCTTTACTTCCATTAGTTGTAGTGATGTTATATAAAAATGTACAGTTGAACAAAGGGAAAAGAACTGCAAAGAATTTGGCTTGTTAACAAGATTTGATGAAAATGGAATTAGTTTTCTTATTGGAAGTCAATATTTTTCTGATAGCTTTGAGTATAATAAGTCATAGCAGTGTTTAGGACCTTATTTTATTTTTGTAGTAGTGCTATATCTTGTAATATCAAAGTAAAACTATGTAAATATGGGAGTACCTATGTACACATATGTCTGTAGGAATAGATTGCTATAGTAATTGAGAGACTAAATATTCAACAAAACAAAGCATTTTAGAGAAGGTCATAAGTAGTACAAAAGTTTTGGTTTTAGAAAAAGGCTGTTGTCTAATCAAAGTGTTAATATGTTAATGAATAACAGAAAGATTTGGGGAGATACATCTGAAGTGTTATACAAATATGTAGGACCTGCTGCTAAGAGATGTATGGTAGCCAGCAATGGGAGTGAGTTGTCAGGAAATCAGGATAAGAAGCTGGGTAAGCCAAAACATTGTACTGTTGAAGATGGAGGCGGTATGTTGAGTGATGCTCTAATCACAAGGGTGTTGAGATGTACTTTGAGGTGCACCTGTGAGTAGACATGAAGTTGAAAGTAATAGTCAATGACTGAATGTAGTCTGAAGACAAGAGATTGTATGTGTGACTGTATGCTCTTGTAGAGAGTGGACTAGTGGGTGGGCAGGCCTTGGGGCTAGTTATGTTGTGTAGGCGTTAATCATTTGCAGGCAAGAGGGCTGCACACATGTTGCTATTAGTCCTGTTGAAGAAGACAGGGAAGACTGGTATGGCAAAGTAAAGTTCTATTTAGGTGTCTCATTGAGGAATTACCATGAATCAGAGTACAGGGAGGATGCAAGATTTGCAAATAGATGCAATGAGAATAAGACTGCCTGATAAGCTGCAAATATTATAATTTTATTAGCATTTTAAGTTAAAAGAGCAGATTTGATTGCTTTTTACAGAAAGCCAGCAGAAGACTTGGCAAATCACAGTTAATTGGGAGGAATTTATCACAGACAAAATGTTATGAGAATAGTGAGATCCATAAATTGTTAAAAACTATGATTGATAATTCAGGGCCAAGGGACAATGTAGGACACAGAGGACAAACAGAAGTCTTCCACACAAGATAGTAAAAGTGTGGGCTGTGTATGGGTGATAAGAGTAAAGACTTCATGTGTGCTGTATTGATTTCAGTGGACTGCTTCTCCTCAATTTTAAGAGATGATATAATTGTAGAATTATCTATTAAGAGAAGTCTGATGATGAATGGGCCTTTTCTTTCTATGCTTAGGCCACAGCAAACATTAGAGTGATTTTTTTTAAAAAATGAAAGCATTGGAAAATTTTCAGAATTATCAGCTGTAGTTTTTGATGATTCAAGACCATGAACAGTACAGAAATAGAATGTGTAGTTGAATGCCTGGAATCCTGTCTGACCACATTTGAATCCAGAGGTCAGTGACAGGAATTTTGGATGAATACTGACTCCTACTTCAATGGACTCTCAACCTTAATGTGGACCCACCTCAGGTTCTTTTGGAGGTTAGCTCAGAAATTTGTGTTTGTCTTTTCTTCTATATCCCTGGGTATTGTTGATACCGCCTCCTTGTGAACAGATAGGGTACCATTATATAATGGAACAGATGAAGTTTAATGAACGACTGACGACTGGGTGAGTCAGTGGGGCCTTCCACTATTTAAAATTTTTTATTATATTAAATTTTTTACTGTGCCTGCATATGTATGTATGTATGTATGCACACACACATGCTGTAACTTGTGTGTGAAGGTCAGAAATCAACTTGTGGCAGCTTGTTCTGTTTTCTGGAGGACTGAACTCAGGTCATCAGGCTTGGCAGCACATACATTTATGTGCTAAGCCATCTTGCTGGCTTTATTCTCTGAATTACTTTCATTCCATTCAGATTCAGTTACTATTCAGAAATACCAGGAAGCTTAGACATAACTAGAAAACACATAAGTTTGCTAGCAAAGTGTGGGCTAGGAACAGGTCAGGCCTGTAAGAGTCATGATGCTGTGGCTGCTTTGTTATTCTACTAAAAGAAGAGGCAGACTCTCATTTTCTGTCAGTGGCACAGTCAGCCTGGCATAGAGAAGGAAGCCAGTAGAGGAGCACAACAAAGTCAGTGGGGAACATAACAGTTAATTAAGCTCTTTTGCTTTTTACCGTACTTAAAAAACAAAGAAAAATTACAACAGACATAGAAATATCAAAGAACAGCATATATGCAAAGGATAGCCTTTTTATTTTTAACTACTGGTGACTAAGAAGTTTATTAGAATTATTAAAGCCAAGAACAGGCAGGCAGAGGGGTAGTAGCATGATAGAGATTCCAAGGAGAGTTCAGACCCCAGCACTAGGCACAGAGAGACTGGGTCTCTGATGAGAATTAGATCCTGAGGAATAGCATTTATTTGCATAATGCTGAGTAAAATATAATTACTCTTTTGTTCATGTATCTTTAGATTCCTGGAGCTTGGAACATGTTTTATGTGATTGCTGAACCTTCTGCATCTGTTCACATTGTGAATGAGTCCTCCAAAGTAATCAAGTAAAATACAGTTATCTTTTGATAATCTGCAAGGGGATTGGTTCCAGGAACCTCTGCACATAAAAAGTCTGAGGACACTCAAGTTACATATATAAAATATTATAGTATTTGTGTATTACTTGTACATATTCTTTTTTATACACTAAGATAGTTATTATACCCAATGCAATGCAGACATTTCGTAACTAGCTGTAGTAATGAGGAAACAAAGAAAAGTCTGTCTTTGTTCAGGACAGATGGATACAGCTGCAATTTTTTGACTTCATGGTTGCAGAGATTATGGATATTGAGGATCATCTATATGCTATATTTCTGCCTCAGTTCTTACTGAGAAGATGCTCAGAATAATAGTATTTATTGTTTGCTTCTTGACTTTTACTTAAGATTAAAACATTGAAAAAGTGACCACATCCATACTTGTTTATTGTTATTATTTTTATAGTTAACATTATTATTGTTCTTATTTTGAGAAAGGGTTTTGCTAAGTAGTCCAGGCTTGCTTGGAAATCATGATGCTCCTGTCTCTACCTACTGTGTTCCGGGATTACAGGCATATGCCACCATGTCTGATTCTTTTGTTCATTCTGCAGTTACCCTGAAGACACTTTTTATACCTTATATATACTATATATATTCTGTAGCTTGCTAAAGCTAAAAGTCCATTTTCTTTTATTCCCTGTTGACTAGCACAGATCAAGGAGCTGAATAAGCAATTTAGTTCTCATAACATTCATCCCTGGGGCTTGGCCACTGGGTAGCTTATGTCTAAATCCTCTGCTCTTGCTGCCTCTGTGTCTTCAGGTCCTCAGTCCAATTTCTTGACTAATCTAAGAGTTTGTTTTGTTCTCTGTCTCTCTCTCGCATCTATAAGTAGGGATGATGAGCATATCTGTCCATTGTCTAAGATTCTTTGGAGTATGAGGTGAGAGAGCATGTGTGAAACACTTAGCCAGTGGAGCTTTATTAGACATAGGGTATCTCTTGATACAGGAATGACAGAGAGAGTGAATGTGACAAGCCAGGGACACATGTTGTAGAAAGTACTATAGTCTCTTTGCAACATTGAAGGCAGGCATATTCTCTTGCCTAGGGTCCTAGAACTTGCGCATTCTCTCACATTTTCAGGGAAAAAGGAAGATCAATAGGAGTGAAATTTGCCATGGATGTACATTCTAACTTCAAGTACCTTCTCAGTACCACAGTTTTAGGTAGCAAACATGTGACCACTACAATGTGTGCTTACTTTGCACAGAGAAAAATAGGAGATATAAAGACTAGTACTAAAAAAAAACTTATGTTGAACTCTTCAAAATCTAGCATGTATCTGACTATAAGATAATATGTTTTTAGTAACCTTACAAACAAGACAGCATGCCAGAATTTAAATAAGGAATAGGTTCGTTCACTTTAGTTTTAGAGTGTGGTCTTCTTCCTGTTCCTTTCTTGTTCTGTGAGACTTATTTCAGAAGCTTGGTACTTTGATTAGAGAAAAGGCCGTTCTTCATATAGATTTCATTTTCAAACTGGACTGTTCACTGGCAACATAGAACAAGTGTGTTCTTTGACTGCCATGCTGTAAGCTAAATGTGTCAGGCAGTGTTCTCACTCGTGGTATGGTGATTGTGAAGATTTGCCTTACCAGTAAAGGCCAGTGTCTGCTTGTGGTCATTGCTATGTAAATGTCAGATACTGCTACAATCTAGGTGATCCATACTTTCGAAAGATGAATGGCACTAACCATTCCTAGGAGTCGTCCTCCTCCAAGAACAATTTAGACACTGGAGAATTTGGAATGCAGTGGTGTGAATCACCTCACTTCTTAATAACTATTGAGAAAGCTTTTCTTTGTTAGCACCTACTTTGAACTCAATATTTTGGAGTCAAACCATCTTTGTTTTGACATTGAGAGAACTTGAAATTTTCCTTTTTGACAGTTGATTGGGGCATGAAATTTGTATGTTAAAATATCCTTTTCCACTTAAGAACTTAGATATTCCTAGCTAGCACAATTGATAATAGTACTGATTAACTTTATGTAAAGGTCATTTGGTTTATTTATTTTCTCTGTTTGCTTTCCTAAACCACATCTCCTTTCCTATCTTGAAAAAGGGCCTACCTATTTCTTTCTGTGAAGGGAAAGCTGCTAATCTCAAATTCTTAACTAGATTCTGCAGTGTGTGCACGTTTTGGCTTCTCTTAATGTTTGTATTTCACCTGCCTCAGAAGCAGACAGACTCAGCTTTCATTAGTTCTTAGAATAATACCTTCTGTCACGGATTAAGTATTTGGCAAGTCTTTCTTCCCTTCTGCACACATGCCAATTTGGGAGTAAGTGGAAATTCAAACACTTTCACTAGAGAAAAACAAAACAAAACTAGTGCTGTGTCTCTGTAGGTGTGACAGTAAAGTCATTGCTTTTATTTGCTCTGACTTTTTGTCCATGTTACAATTGTAGAATATTCTTATCAAAGCCTTGCAAGTTTGTATGTTTAGGACATTTCTCTGTGCTTTTGCCTATTGGAATATGTGCTTTCTCTAGAATTTAGTAATTAAGAGAAGGCTTCCCAAATAGTAATTATATTTTAATTATCAAGTAAATTGTTTTTAGAACAAAGAAAATTATTACTGAATAAAACAGAGCACGTATATTAGAGAAATTTGAACAATAGAAATAACTGTAAACACCAAGTTTCGTATGCATTAGTAAATATGTAAAAATTGTCTCTTACTTAAAAATATTCATTAATTTTGTAGATCAGTTTGACTTTATAATCCAGTAGCAACTTGAAAAATTTGAGATTAGAAAATGCAGTTAATTATAAACTTAATAATAACACATTTCTATTTAATCATTCCTAAATTTTAATGTTTGTTTCCTAAAATGTCAGTCAAGTTTGCAACATTTCTAAGGTATTTTCATATTTACCAACTTTTCTTGAGTTTTGTTCTTTTGGAAAATGGTGTTGATGAGTGCTTTTCTCTTGGCAAAAACAGTTAGCTAACAGACTTATTAATCGTGGGCATGTCATATCCTTAGCAGAAGTCAGTTTCTTGTGTATGCCATATAAAACGGCAATGACATTTCTTTCTGTTTGAAAGAAAGCTTTATGTGCTTATAATTCCCTTTGCATTTGGAATGTTTGAGTCATGCCAGGGATTAATTTTGGTTTGAAAGAGACAGAAAACGATTGAGTTAAAATATAGAAGTATATTCAGCTGTAAACGAATCTACCCAACATTAGAAAGAACACTTCCAAAATAAGTTCAGAATTAAAACTGCCACCAGTGCAACTGGAACTTCAGCAGTTGGTGACATAAGCTCGTGTTAGCATTGGCAGCACAGAGGGAGAAATCTTGACACAAGGAGGAAGTGGGACCAAGTGTGGAGTAATTTCTCTCATGTGTCAGACACAGTGGTCTTTTCTTTAGTATCAGACAGGTATGCTCTGCTGTTCAGTGATTCTATCCCTTCACATTGACTATGGCCATATCAAGATTTTTTAAAAAGTCTTTCTTCTTCTTCTTCTTCTTCTTCTTTTTAAATCTTTGGTCTTTTATGTCTTAAGTTTAGTAATATATAATCTTTTCCTTAATCTTTATAGTTTGGTTTTTTAACTTTTCCACACAGCCTCACAATAGCAACTGCTCTCTGATTTTATCTATGCCTCTTGAAATTGATCTCACAGCATGAAGTAGCACTGGTAACTCCAGGGTAACTGTGGAAATCTTATGCTTTGTGTTAAACAGGTCAAAAGCGGTTTCACAGCTGCAGCCTTAAGTTTGCCTTCACTTTCAAACCAGAGATATTTTTGTCATCAGTATGACTGTGTATGGTTTAGAAGACAAACTTGAGTATATGCAACTATGCATGAAGCCTTGTAATTATTTAATTACTTACATTGAGATTGGCAGTAAAAAAATCCTTCGTAAGGTCAGAAACAGTGTGCTGGTAGCACACAGGCAGTAGTTAGGCAGAAAGTAAACAGTGGAACTATTTCTCTTAATTTATTCCATCTTAAGTACTATTTATACTTTTTAAAAAAACATACATTAGGCAAATGAACTTCCAAGTTTCTTATCAATTCTCTCTTATATTTATAACTTACGTTTGTCTTTCTTTACTTAAAATTCAGGTCCATGGAATTGTACGGCGATCCAGTTCATTTAATACAGGTCGAATTGAACATTTATATAAGAATCCACAGGCTCACATTGAAGGAAGTAAGTTTCTTTCTCAATTTTTTGTTGCTTCCTATTTTTAGATATTTTCAAATATCATTATTCATAGCTCATCTAGTCACAATTACTCGCCTGGGATTACTACAGTGAATAACACCTGACCTACAAGCTAGGGAAACATTCCTTGTACCTCCTCCAGCCTTAGTGCCATATTGGTCTGATTATTAGAGTGATATAGTCAGTAGATGGCTTTAAGAGAAATAGACAAGACATAACTTTGATTAGTGCTTTTTAGCTGTGTGATTGGACGGACCCTCATGTTTTCTTCTTTTCTTGCTTCTCCTTCTCCCAGATTTCTACTTCCATTTATTCTGTCTGCATGCCAGCCCACATATCCTTTTTCTCTGCCCAGCTGTCAGCCATTTATTAGACCAATCAGGCGTTTTATACTTGAAAGTAACATAGCTTTACAGAGTTAAACAAATGCAACATAAAAGGATGCAATAAATCTTTGCATCATTAAAGAAATGTTCTACAGCATAAATAAATGTAACATACCTTAAAATAACATTCCATAACAAATATCTAAACAAAATTACCTCAAAAAAGTTATCCCAACAGAGGTATCTTCTCATTTATCACTGTGTTGTAGATTTCTTTAGTGATTCTATATACATTATTCTATATGATATAATATATTATATCATATTTTTCCAAATTTCACTTTTATGTAATACATGTCTAAATTTTTATAGCCCTACGATAATTGTCTAACATCTTCAGGATATTACCATTTTTAAAACAAGTCTATTTGAATTTATTTTTACAAATTCACACAGACCTATCCTTATACCTTATATGTTTCTTAAAGATAAAAGTTGTAATTTGACACTCAGGAACCATCAAATACAATGTTTCTGTTGTGTGTTGTTGCACAGGAATTGGTACACATGACAGGATTTTGCTAAGTAGTTCAGGCTAACCTCAAATTCAAGATCCTTCTGTCCCAGTGGTCCAAGTACTGGGATTGCAGAGATGGGCTATCATACCAGGGACCATTTCTGGTCTGACCTTCTTTTTCATACGTGAATAATATGTATTTCAGTTTTGTTATTGAAATGTTTCTCATGTTATCTCGTATCTGATAATCCTTTTCTAAATCCTAAAGACATGAAGTTGCACTATGGTGACCTCACCGACAGTACCTGCCTGGTGAAAATCATCAATGAAGTCAAGCCTACAGAGGTCTACAATCTTGGTGCCCAGAGCCATGTCAAGGTAAGCTCTTCTCATTGCCTTTACTTCTCTGTCTGTGTCCTTTTAGTATCCTCTATTCACCACATTTATTGTTTCTCAATACCATAGTAACCACTAGTCCTTATCAAGTTTAGTTCTGTATTAGTTTTGAAATTCATCCTAATAAAAATGCTTATAATTTTAAGCTGAGGTTTCTGTTACTCAATAGTACAATAAAATCTTTCAAGTAACATTGAAGTAACAATTTGCATGAATTTTAGGTTGTTCCCTATATTTAAGAACCTCTGTTCAGACATTTCATATCAATCTGTGAGAAAAGTATTTGTTAAAATGTTAGACGGTATAGCTCATTAAAATCTTTATTTTAGTGTTAATTTTTGGTAATGACTATATGCCTGGGTTGATGGATATTCTTGTGTTGTAAGATATCCTTAAAAATTATATTCTTTGGGTTTCAGATATATGTTAAAGTTAGCTTAATTTTTTGTTGTGAACTGTGAAAAGAGTAAGTCTTTTTTTTTGCCATTTCTTCTTATTGTGACACTCTTAATGTTGATTTCTTCCCTATATTCAGATTATCTGGTGCTTTGCCCATCTTTCTTTAGTCCTTCTCTCCGGAACAGTCATAGTAAACTTGAGAAGGTCTTCCCAGCCTTCCAGCTTCTGCTTGACTCGGATTTTTTTGACTATGCCCTGATGCTTTCTTGGGTGAATGAAATTTGAAACCAGAGTTGATTTGTTCTATTTAGATACCTATTCAATCAAGTGGTTAGTAGAGTTTAGGAATAAGAACAAATAGCTCTAGGTTTAAAAAAAATTCCACAAATATCTATCCATATTTTTTCTCTGTTTAAAAAACAAAGACAACAATTTTATTATGGTATGGTGTTTTTATGTTTCTCTTATTTTTTCAATTTTGTACAGAATGGGGGCAATATTCCTGCTTTCTACACCTTCACTGCTTAAGGCAGGAATAGGACCTGAGTTAATGAACAGTGGAATTAGCCTAGTCATAAAACAGCAAAATTTAAAAAAATGAGGGTGAGTCCTTGAGTTGCAGAGCCCTTAGACTCAGCATTTAAGAGCACTGACTGCTTTTGCAATGTACTAGGGTTTGATACCTAGCACCCACATGGTGACTTACAAACATCGGTAACACTAGGGTATCTAACACCCCTCCTGACCTCTTGAGGCACTAGAAACACATGCAATACACAGAGGCAAAACGCTCATACACATAAAACAAATACATCTTAAAAGTAAAAAGCAAATAATGAATTGTATGAATTTTGCTATTATTTTTTCAATTTGAGATTGGCCCATTTTTTCCTCTGAGATCTACATGAAGATTTATGAAGGCATTTCTTATCTGCCTATACTGTTTTGAAATACAAAAAAAATTCCATCTTTCTCTTTTTTTTCCTTCTTTTTCTTTGGGTGTTGTGGATGCAATACAGGATCTTATACATGCTAAATACATGCCAGAGATAAATTTTTCCCTTTGCAAGTGGAGCTGTTTTCCTAGGGATTTTCAGTTTTTGTTTCTCCATCGTGAAGGCATGTCTTAAATTTTGTTTTTGAGAGATTGATTATCTTATTTTCTACAGAGAAGTACTAGTGCTGTCCTTCCAGGAATAAGGCCTGATTTCCTCTAATTGAAGCAGTTAGCTTATCTTCCATACTTCTTTTGCTATTCTTATCACAAGAGTCTATTAAAGACAGAAATGGATTGTTTGGGAATTACCATTTCAAATTTTAATTTCCTTAAGTTACAGAATTTTTTTTGATTATAGATGGTTTATAACCTCTACAAGCCATAAACTAGCATGATGAGAAGATGGGGAAATTTTTATTCATAGTCACTTTCACCCTACCATCTTAGTATCAAATGTAATTATCTTTTCCATTCTCCCAAATGGAGAAATTCTCCAGTATGTTACATTTTCTTGAATTGTTGTGAGCACAATAGGGTTTGGGTATCATTCTGGAGTGGTTGTACTATAAAAAAAAGTTGGTTTGATTTGTTCTACATTAACACAAGTGTAAATTCATCTGTTTTACAGTATTTTAGCCGCTTTTCTTAAAGGATCGGTAAATTGTCAGGGATGGTGCTTAGTTAGGACTTAAAAACATGTATTTATTTATGTCTGAGGCGTGTATATGTGTTTGTGTGAACTTGTGTATGCCACAGTGCATTTGTGAAGGACAGAAGACAATTTTCAATAGTTGGATCTCTCTTTTTAACATGTAGATTCTGAGAACCAAACTCAGGTCATCAGGCTTGGCAGCAAGTACTCTTTCACACAGTTATTTCAGGCCTAAGAATTTTGATTTTTAAAATAATTTAATCTTTCAACATTAGTTGTTCATATTCTTTATACAAAGTATGGAATAGTAGAGAACAGAGAGATGTATGAAATCCACTTGTGCTGTTGTGGGATTCAGCTTAGTAGGGATGATTAGCACAAGTATCAGAAGCTTGCACCGTATTTTTAAATCTGTAGTGGCAGGTGAGAGGGAACTGGATGGCATCAAGGAGGAAAGGGAGAACTCAGGTCTTACGGTATATGAATGGTATTTACAGTTGTAGTAGGAAGTGGAGAGTTGAAATGAAGGTATTAACATAATTGTCAAGAGTCAGAAAGGAAGAAATTTTGACCACGAACACTAAAAAGAAATATGAAAGTGGAGTAGACAGGGAGCTGGGCCATACTAGACAGCTTCTGTGTATGTTGAACAAAGAAAAAACTTTTTAGATATGAATTTTAGAGGTTAGAGTCTATGAGTGAAGTTGCAAAGGCGTAGGTATTACATGAGTATGGTGAGGTTATAAAGGCTATAAGGATAGAACAGCTCACCTAGTGGAATGAGTGGACTTTCTATGGTCTCTAGAGAGGAGGCAAAGCACTAGTGCTCAGAGACCAGATAGTTGATGCAACAGCTATATGTAAATGGAGGTGGTGCTTTCATGTTCTAACTGCATGGTCCCAAGTAATCATAGGGGAAGTTATATTAATTACAAACTGTTTGGCCTATAGTTCAGGCTTATTACTAACTAGCTCTTGCATCTAAATCAACCAATTTCTATTAATATATGTATTATCATGCGGCTGTGGTTTTTACTGATTTGCTGGCATGTTGTTTCTGTCTTAAATCTGTCCCTCCTCATTCAAGTCCTCAGTTTGATTGTTCCACCTAACCCTGTACTGCCTGGCTATTGGTCACACAGCTTTTATTAATAACCAATAGGAACAATATATATTTACAGTGTATAGAAGCATCCCATAGCAGCTATGAAAGATTTTACTACCAGCACTTAAAGAACACTTGGATGAAACACATTGTGGGGCTTGTTGGTCTGTTGGGTTGTGAATTCAGTTCTCAGAGTCCTTAATATGGTGTCTGGTAACTGGAGGAAAGGAGATAGAAGGCTGTAGGGAACTTGCCTTGTAGTATGGGAAGGCAAAGTAGGATGGCAGGAACCAAGTAGACAAGAGGCAGTGGGTAGAATTATGCCATGTAAGTTGAAAAGGTAGACCTTCCTAGGAAGAAGGGGATAGAGGACAAGAAAGGGATCAGTGGCCTTCATCATAGGCTGAAGATCTACTTTTAATGTTTCTGTTAATTTGCTTTTACGTTGCTGGAGTTGGAAACCAGGTCCGAAGGCATGGTAGAGGAGTGTTCTGTTACTTAGCCATACCCCATATCTAACTAAGGACTATGAAAAGAAACATCTGAAGAAGCTGTAGTAGGACTGAACAGATTAACATAGGGGTTTTAGTAGTTGAAGAGTTAAAAGGGCAATGTATAGTGAGTGGATTATTTTCAAGGAATTTCGTGATGGAAGAAAGAGAGAATAAGATAGTAAAACTTTTGTCGTCACCCCCTCAAAATTACTAAGCCTTGTCTCCAGAGTCTTTGATTTCTGAAGTCCAGGGTGAAGATAAGAACTTTGATTTTTAGAAAAATCCAGGTAGTTCTTAGCCTAGTCTGGTGGTCACATTTTGGAAATCATTCCTGTAACACTTCAGGTGTCTTGGCTCATTCATATAGTTGCTTTATATGTATTTGCCTTAGACTTTCCTTTTTTTTAAGAGTTTTTTTTAAATTAATTTGTTTGTTTATAAAAATTTCCACTTCCTCCCTTCCTCCCCATACCCTCCCATTCTCCCTACTCCCTCTCCTCCCTCCCCCCACTCCTTCCCCTCCTTCCTCTCTAGCCCTAAGAGCAGTTAGGGTTTCCTGCCCTGTGGAAAGTTCAAGTTCCTCCCCTCTCCCTTCAGTTCTAGGAAGGTGAGCATCCAAACAGACTATGCATGTACTAGACTTTCCTTTTAATGTACCAGCTTCTGAGTCTGATGTCAAATAGTTCTGCTAGTCATTAGTTCATGACAATGTGAGACTTTACAGTCCCTAACGACACCTATAATCGAGAATGGTGAGAGGCTGGAGTGAATCAGTGTATCCCAGTTCTTCCCACTCAGAAACCTTTTTTTAAATAACCTATGAGAATTGGTCCTTTGCAGAATTCTCCTTATATTTCAAGACAAGGCATACATACAGTTCATGTCCTTTAGCCCATACTTTTCTACTCCTTTGCTATGAGCTAAAGACAAGTTGATTCTTAGCCATGGGTAGTAGACGCTGGGAATACTGGCCAATGCTCATATACTCACCGCTCACCTAGCTCACCAGTATGCTACTTTGTCTTTTGATCACTCTGTGTTACACTTCAGGTTTCACATATTGATTTGTTTTGTTATTATCAAGGGATTAAAATATTTAATTTTTAATGAATTCTCCATGTTAGCCTATGTTAATATCTTTAAAGTATTTACTGTGCTTACAAATTTTTTTAAATAAAAATTTATTTCTGACTGGTGTAATGCTTTCAGTAAGATTAACATAAAAGGCTACTTTGTAATATTTTAAAAGATGGTTCTAATATTAGCACATTTTGCATTTAATTTTGAATCCTTGACTTCTAGACTGGGCATTGTTTGTGTTGGACTCACGTTGTA